TTGGTCAGGTCGAAAAAGTTGATCTATGGACAAAACATTAATTTGAGGACCCAAAGTTCAAAAGTGGAAAAAAAACTACTATCAAGAAATCAAAAGTGATATTATTTGTTTTTAACCTAACTAGTATGAGATTCTCAATATTCATACTAACTTAAAATTCAACTATTATTGAAATTTATATAGAAAGCTCTATATATATGTATATGCTTATTATTTTATTCACAAAACTCGACTACAAATCTACGACTATATTTAAGTATATTTTCTTTAAACTACAAGTATAAATCTATTTGGGAACAATCAACCGAGTTAGTTTAGCAGTTAGCTTAGTAACCATAAATTAAAGTTTCACGTTTAACTCACCATGTAAGTTTTCTATTGGCCTTATCAGTTTAAACAGGTAAGTCATGTGCAACCTAAATTGATTTATCTCATTGTGATGCTTTACCGACTAGAATAGACAGGTTTCAGTGTTTCACCCATTACAAATTTTGGACAGTGATTGTAAACTTTATTGTAAATCAAAACATATTATCTATTTTTATATATTGGCTATTCTCTAACACAAGTCATCTCTAGCTAGGCCCCACACATGTTTATATTATCATGTTTGTATGTGTGTGTGGAGATAATAAAATGTTGTGTAGATTTGGATTAGAGAAATCCGAGTTGTTAGAGGAAGGATGTGAGTGCACATGCGAGTGTTTTAGCCACTGCCTGCTTGCCACTCTATGGTTCAACTATGTTTGGGAAATAGGGAAATTTTGTGGATCTAAGTAAAAAGACAATTTTGTCTTCACATGTATACTTGATGATGGATCCTTTAATTTGACAAATGCTACATGCCTATTGGGTAGGGGGAGATGGACCTAGTTGATCCTCCACTAATTATTATACTTGGTGAATGGAAAGATTCTTAGTAAGATTCAACCTCAACCAAGATTATAGGTATTTAGATACCTAATAGTTATATTAAGTTTGGACTACTTTTAGACCATAAGTCAATGGTGCAAAGGTCAAATTAGAGTGAGGAATGTAAGTTTTAATTGTGTTGACAATCTTAAGATGGGTTCGATTTCTGATAATAACATGGTTTGGAGTAAGTTGGATCCATTGTGGATTCCAGTGTAGCAAGGTCTAGCTAGGCCCCTGACTTAATGAAACATATCTTGTGATTATTTCTTCATCGATAATGAGGACCTAGGGGAAGGGCGAGGCAGGGTAAAAGGGTCATCATCTGGGTTGGGTTCAATCTTTATATTAAGTTTCAACTGACCTAAAGTTAAGTTACTATCATATCTGATATATTTTAAATTATTATAAGTTACCTATCTATGTTGAATGAGTTGCTGAACATTTTCTCATACATAAGAGAAATAAACTACGCTTTGGGGGTCTTATATGAAACGGATTCAAAAACCTCTTACGTAACATTAGTTATAAGCAAGAGACGATATTATATTGAAAAAGTATATGAGGTAATTATAAAAATTATGTGGAGTGATATACACATATTTCAAATATTATAATTAAAAAACATAAGTCTTTTCAAGAATCTTGTGCATAGAATGGGAATAATTTGGAAATTAGAGACAAATCAAGCCTTAGTCCCACCCACTATAATGACTTTACTTTTAGATAGCTCCAATAGATTTTTGGCAATGGTTAAGGCTAGCTTGTGTCTCAAATGGAATCATATCATGTTTGGTCCTCTTTAGTTGGTGCTTAAGATTACAAAGTGTCCAACCCAACCTCCACAAGTGGCACATATATGGACCTTATGAATTAAGAATTTTCTTCTCCACATAAAAATCAAAACCAATCATTTTACTGGCTAGTGGTCGAGTTATTAGCATTCGAGAATTTTATGGTTCAGAATCATATCACAAGTTTATGATCAGAGACTTTAAACTTTTAATTTTTATTCTTCTGCTTCTTCTGATACTGCTACGTAAGTACGGCCAAAAAGATTATTGTTGAAAAACGTGAACTAATAGTGATATAAAAACAATTTTAATTTTGTAGTGCTTCTTCTAGTGTGTTCCCATGTTATGTTCATATATGCATGAACCAATGTGCTTTAATCTCTTCCAATGGGCAGTGGAAGAAAAAGAGGGGATAGAAAAGACTCACAAAAGTAAGACTTCCAATGTATCTTTAGTATATGCTGCAAACTTTATGGCTGGCTTTACAGTCAAGTTGCATTCTTTCTAATGCAACTTGAGTAGTGGGTTTTATTGTTTTAACAGGATTTAGCCCCAACTCGAAGATAAAAAGACAAATAGTTACTCACATTAAACAAATGACAAATATTTAGGTTAAAATGTAACTTCAAAAAAGTTTATAGAATGAATGTTTCTACGTTGCTAATCGGTATTGACTTTATAGCCAAGTTGTGTTCCTTCTAATGCAACTTGACTAGTGAGTTTTATTATTTTTTTTTTTGGATTTAGCCGCCCCTCGGCCTCCACCCCAACTCAAAGATAAACAGACAACTAGATACTTATGTTAAACAAACAATTACTTAGGTTAAAACGTAACTTCGCTCTAAAATGTTTATACAATATTAATAATGAATTTTTTACGTTCCTAATTAATACCCGTACTGATAGTAAGAGCTATAGCTTTGTAAAATATGTTTGATTATATCGATACTATTGACATCCATACTAAATGGTATCTAATATACCAACAAATATTATACATAATTGTATTAAATACTATTAACACCAATGCTAATCATGATAAATGTTTAATACTTAAATAATAAAAATAATATGTTTTTCACTAAATATCTCTCATTGTCATATAGATTCTAAACAATCTAAGATTTACCCACCCCACATTATGGAAAGTGTCGTGTGATTAAATCCTATTAAAAAACCAATAAAAAATGAGTTGAAAAAAAAAAAAAAAACCTAAAATTAAATTCACAACAGAAAGCGTGGCAGCTTTAGGCTTGTTCACATTAAGCAACTTCTAGATTATTTTGTCACTTCCAAAAGGGAGTAGTAAAATATGTTTTTCGTACTTGAATGTCATGTTTTTAATTATTATCAACATTTTTTTGGTCGAATTCACACTATTGGAAATTATGGAATTTTCGACCACCTGAAAGTGATATTAAATCAAATTGATACCAAAAAGTGATTGGAAATAGCAACAAAAGTTTTTTCGAATACCAAAAATGGTTGGAACAAAGCTTTCGACTTGATTTAAGATCACTTTCAGGTGGTCAGAAATTCCATAATTTCCAATAGTGTCATAGTATGATAAAATTTTTTAATGTGGTTTAAAAATTATTACTCATGTATATAAAAAGTTTATACTATCGGATAGTAATAACAAGTTTCTCACGTCACTCAGAAAAAAAAAAAAAAAAGTTTTGTCGGATTGACAAAACTTTGAAATTGAATCAATACCCACCAAGATAAAATAAAATAAAATATTTTAATTTATCTTGGTTAAAAAAAACCATATAGATAATACGAATATTAAAAAAAAAAAATATTATGGCCAGCCAGATTTCAGGTGAGAAATCGTGACACACGTGTCCCAGTTTAATTTTTATGACAAAATTAAATTAAAAAAACAATAAAATTAATTATTACCAGGAATTCAACGAGGGCACTTATGAGGTAGATGTGATAAGTAGTGAAGAAAGCGTCGGAGAAAAAGCCACCGAGAAGTGCGAGGAAGAAGGCGGTTCCCATGAAGTTCGTGACGGCGTTAGCCGATTTGGCCAACGGGAAATGCATGTACTCCGACAAGTACCTAACCAGATTGCTCGCATTCGCCAAAAACGCCAAATTCTCCAGCACCTCCACGCCTGAAAAGTGAAAACCACGGGCCAAAACCTGGTTAGAATTGCCTGTCCCCGAGCAGAACCAGGTTTTGCTCGGGCACGGGGACATGTTGGGGTATTAAGATATACAACTATATATGATATATCCTCCCGGGCAGGGCTCGTCGAAGATAGTGCTGATCGAGCCCTGCCCGGATGTCAGAGCATTAGAATAAGTATATATATATATATATATATATGTATGTATGAGCTGGGCTCGTCAAACAAGGCTGCAGGCTTCGTTTGACAAGCCTGGCTTGAAATACTGAAACACGAAACGCTCACCCAGAACGAAGGAGGCGGCGAACATGCCACCGTGTTTGCCTCGGAGGGCGGGCCGGTTTCTCCAATCCACATAGCCCTTCCATGTTGGGACTTGGCTCTCCACTACTTCCTGCAGGGAAAATTATAGGGTTAAGGTCGAAAAAAATTTAAATATGGTCCGACGGGTAGCCATAATATATCAAGAAGGATGAGAAAAACACCATTTTTTTTGCAGAGCTCAAGTGGTGGGTTTGGGGGGTGGGGGGGGGGGGGTGAATTGAAGCTAGGATTGGAGGAATGAAGGGAATGAAAGGAGGGAGTGGGGAGATTTAAAGGGGTTAGAGAAGAGGAAAGATCCAAATTGGGGAGAATGCTTTAGGATATGACTTGAAAGCATTTGAAAATGGGATGCTTGACAGCTCCATGCTTAACAACACCATTATTTTGGATTTTTGTATAAAATAAGCAAAGTTTTTTTCTTTATTTTTTGTATTTTGGGTAGTTTTTTTTGTTGCTATTTATGACATAATAATTTGATCTGGGCACTCAATAAGAGGAAGAAGAGAAGAGAGAGGGGGGTGGGGGTGAAAAGATGTGATTTTTCCAGAAAAAGAGGTGTGAAAGAGCATCAAACATCACAGTACAGGAGGGGGGGAGAAGAGAGAAAGTAAGGGCGTGTTTGGGTGATTGTTTGACCAACATGTCAACAATAAATGAGTTACGTTGCTAGATGAAGCATCGTGGGCCCTCCTCTTTATCATACGTGGCATTGGGGTGACTTTTATTAAGGCCGCAATTATACTGTGGACCGCGGTCCACAAAGCTTTGTAAACCATTGTTCAAAACGGTAGACACTATAGTGTATTATCGAATGAAACTGCAATTGAATTGAAATGAAATTGTAGTTGTGTTGAAATGAAACTGCAGTGTATACAAAATGAAACTGAATAACAATTTCACATATTTAAGTGTATATTGTCCAGCGAAACTGTAGTTATATCAAAATGATACTGTAATTGTGTTGAAATGAAACTATAGTACATATTTGATGTTTGGACCATAATGCATTGTGGACCGTGGTCCACATTTTATTTTTCCTTATTAAGGAGTTAAGGCCTGCTTAATTAGTAGGATGGTCCAACTAATCCTAATAATTTCAGTTAATTGTTTAATCTATTTAATTCGAGTAACACAAATTAATTGTGTGGATCATAACAAAAAATATATTTTTAATATATTAAAAGTACATTAGTAGTGTATTGAAGGTATATTATACAAAATAATATACTTTCAGAATATATATTTAGTACTCAAATAATGTATTTTTCCTGAATATAATGTACATTTTTAATATACTGAAAATACCCCTTATTTGTGTACTGAATATACTTTATTTAATAGCATGATCCACACAATAATGATTTTTTAAGTAATCAATTAGTAGTGTTTATTGTCTCAAGTACAATAAGATCGGTACAATAATATATCGATAGAAATCGTCATAGATGTCCAAAGTAGGCAGATTCTTTGTGCGCACCGGCATTTGGCTCTGGCTACTAACCCATTGAGTCACTGTGATTTACATTCTCCCACATGCTCTGTCGGGTCGGAGTGTAGGGGGCCCTTAGGGTTAGGGATTCAACCTTTTGGGGTAAGAAATCGTCATAGAATTGAAGTTCCTATTAAATATATATCATATAATAAAATATTAGTTAATTTAGTTATGAATTGGATATAATTCAATTGATTGGTTGATTCAATAAATTGTATTTTGTTCCGGCAAATGATTTTATCAAAATGAGAAATTTTGGTTTGAAATAAACTAAATCAATTGAACGATGATCCCTACTAATTAGATATTATTTTTAAAAAATTCAATAGTTTTCTAATTTTTTTTTTGAGATTTTTAGTTTTTTTTTTAATACTTAAAATTTTAAAAATATATTTAAATTTAGCTAAGTTTCAATTTATAAAATACAAAATGCGATTAGTAAATGACTATTTGTATATTCAAATAGTCATTAATGAATATATAAACGATAATGATAAAAAGGCATTAGTGGTTGTGCCGCGGCTAAGTTGGTAGGCACTAAACGGTGGGGTGAAGTTGTTCGAAATTGACCTTTTTTTAGTGTTTGGTAAATAGCTGTTAGCTTTTTGTTATTGGTCAATCTATTAACTAATTGTCTAATATGTTTGACTAGTTAATAGCGTTAACTGATTGTAGAAAGACGTTTGGTAAATTAGCTGTGAGCTGATTGTTGAATACATGCAAAATGACTTTATCAAAAAGTTAATAAAAAGCAGCTTTGAGCAGCTTTTTGAATTTTAGCATTTTAGATTAATAATATAAGCTGTTACAAAAGACTAATTAATCAAATACTTATATTGAATGTTTAACCAAGTCAAATATCTAATAGTGATTAAATAAGTCAAAATTATATGATAAACTAATTATGTTACTAAACATGACTATTTATAAATAAGTAGGTGATGTTCGCAAAACGTAAATATATCTATTGAGACCCACTAATATAATCATCAAACTAATCATCAAACATCCTTATCATATAATAAGGTAACAACAAATGATTAAATAATTTAAAAATACTATATCAAATTATATATTTTTATTTATATATCTAATACATACTTGAATAATGAAAAACCAAAATATGAAAATGTGATAGTTGTCACATTGTAAGGTCCACTTATTAGGTATAATCAAGAATATAATATATGGAAAAAAAAAAGTGGAAACTACAAACAAAAGGTACACAAATCGTCATGACATAAGAGTACTTATTTCTTTTTAATACACTAGTAAGATTCGATCCTGAGTTATTGTTATCAAACTTTACCGTTGTTACTAACTGAGCTATCCATGCGAGCTGTAGGTGAACTAACCATGATAAAGTAAGAATAAAAATTACACCCCGAAAGAGATAATCAACTAAGTGAAACATGATTTTTGTACCTAAAAATCATGAGTTTGATTTTTGTTAACACCTTTTAAGTACAATTTACCTCTCATATGTAGTTTGTAGACTAAAATATGATTCTTATATTTAAAAGTCGCGAGTTCAATTCTAATTCTTACCAACACCCACTTTTACAACACAACTCCTTAAAAAAATCCAACTGTTTGTTGGGTGATAAGGTGGAAAATCCCAAAAATAATAACCTTACAGAAAGATTATTATTATATAGAAAAAACAGAAAAACTAGAAAGGAAAAATGTGGATGATTTGGATAGTGGTTAGCACGAGTTTGAACAAATCGTTCTTTTCCTTAAAACCTTATTTGCTACCTCCCACAAGTGCTAGGAGCGTTGTAGCCTAGGTTTCTCAGGATAAAACGTGCTATGATTCAGTGTTTGAGCACCCAAACAAAGAATCCGGTGAACAAAGCAAGTATAGAACACACTTGGTAAAGAAAGGAGTAGAAGCAGAGTTTTAATTTGGAAGCTAAAAACGTACTTGGATTTCTTATTGTGTAAAAAACCTACTGCTCTACCCTCTTTTATATAGGGTTGAAGGAGTTGGGTAGCCTTCAATATGACATTTAAATTGCTATTAAAACCAATTGTGTAACACCCCAGAATTCAAAAAAAGGGTTGAAGGAGTTGGGTAGCCTTCAATATGACATTTGAATTGCTATTAAAACCAATTGTGTAACACCCCAAAATTCAAAAAATTAGGATTAAAGCAATATTAATTCCGTAACAAGAACGTTGGTGTACAGGGTTCAGCGCGCAAAAGAGAGCATCTATGCTTTACAATTCAATAGGTTTAACAAGAGCTCTTGTATAAATAGTGGGGCAAATCCACTTCCAAAATCAATGTGGGACAAAAGCTTCACTTTTTTCCTTTATTTTTCCAACTCAAATGGGTCTACTTTGAGAATCAATATCTCATTCACCCATTATCCGTTTTGAGCGTACAATATATCAATCTCTTCGTCTCACTACGAAGAATCCGAATCCACTTTGACTCGACTCAAATCGGAAGTGGATCCCATAGATAATTGTACTACAAAATAGTCACTTAACATGCCATTTTATGCCATTCTAAACTATTTTTACCAACACTGTTATAGGTTTTATATATTAATTAATTATTTGTACATTAATAATTTCGTAGTGAAAAGATTTGACATAGTATATTTCTCTAATGACATTTTAAAATACAAAATAATAATTCTATACAAATGATTTTATTTTATTTTTGTGGTTCAATTTTTTTTTTTTTTTTTTTTTTTTTTTTTTTTTTTTTGGGTGTAGTTGTGTATTTTTTTTAACAATAAAAAATAGTGCTCTTTATATAAATGTATTTTTCAATACTTGACGTAGAGTAACCAAATATATATATAATAATTATAAACCATACTTTGATATGTGGACTGAAATTTTCAACTATTTTTCTTTGTCCTCCAAATTAAATATTTATTGTCTGCCTCATTATAAAAATAAAAAAATTGATACATACATACTTTAATGCTCAATAAATAAATATATACTATTTTCCTTTGCCATCCTTGCTAATAAATAAATATATACGATTTTGGCAAATTATTGTATGGACCATGGTCCACACAATTTGTATGGACCATGAGTATATGGTACATTTTTAATACATTAAAGGTACATTATTTGTATACTGAAGGTACATTATTTGATAGTATATATAAAATAATGTACTTTTAGTACTAAAATAATGTACCTTCAAATAATATATTTTTAGTATACAAATAATGTACCTTAGCTTTAGCATATTAAAAATGTACTTTTTTTTTTTTATGGTCCATGCAATAATGATTATATTGTACTATTTTCGTCTACCATCCTCGCTAATATATTAGCTATAGCCCGATATCACGATTACTTAAAAGAAAGTGTAGAATCAAATCTCCGACTTTACAATTACATTAACATTATTATATTTATTAACGGTTTCAAATGATTGGGTTTAATTACTAAAATTTTAATTAGATCAATAATAAAAAGTCTTGTAATAAAGAGGAATGCAATACATAAGCAAAAATTTCTCATAAGTGAAAAAAAAAAAAAACAAATAAAGTTATTCTTGACAAAATTTTACTCTGAAAAGTTTTACATCGATGATCGTAATAATGTCGGATGCTAAAAATAATAAGAGACATACATTTTGTATTTTGACAAAATTGAAAGAATGAGTTCAGTTTTGTCAAATTACAAAATGTACTTACCTTTTACTATTTTTAGCATTCGATATTATTATGATCCAACATGGACTGATTGACCAAGTGTGACATAGGAGAAGAACACAGCTTGAGATAAGGCAAAAATGCACTGATTAACCAACCAGGAAGCAGCGAGCAATAATACTACTATTTTCTTATATATGTTCTGTATTTAGATACCCAGTTTATGATGATCTTAACAAAATCATCAGTCACATTTACTAAGTAATTTAAGATTATTTGAACTAAACGCCCTTTTAGTATAATATTTTTTGACCAAAAGAAATATGAACTAGACTAGACAAGACAACCGTTATCGGCCGGCATTGTTCAGTCCAAGTTGGACAGGAATTGAAGGAGGACGGGAATCTTTAATGCCGGAAACACGCGTTTGGTTCTTAGGGACGTGTTTGGCTTATCGCATTGGAATCCGCAGGTTTATATATATATATATATATATATATATATATATATATATATATATACTCAGGTTCCCGTGCATGCTTCCCGTGCGGTTATTAATGTGCGTGAGATTTGTACTCAATGTGCGTGAGTGTTGTATCTAATGTGCCTGAGATTTGTACTTGATGTGCGTGAATGTGTAAAATGCAGCAGAAAAGTGGAGACCTACAGGATAGTTTCTTCGCTAGCTTTATTCTCGGATGGGTTATCACAAATGGTGCT